TCTCTTTCTACACTTTAAAAGTCACTCCATAGCTCTCTCTGCTCACACACACCCACCCCCTCGCCCAGTTCAAAGCTTCAGGCCCCGCGGGACACGCTTTTCCTCACTCACAGACACGACCCTCACGCCAGGACTCGCTAAAAATTATCAATCACACTTGGGGTTTTTTTTGTTTTTTTTTTTTTTTTTTTTTTTTTTTTCATTACTGGCAAATATTTTCAAATGTGTCTTGTTATAAGAATTCCATCATTTCAGAAGATACCAAACAGAATTGTAGGTAGGTTGGGTTTTACCTCATCAGCATTGGAAAGCAGTCTGAAATATTTTTTTCTTTTCTTTTTTTTCCTATTTTTTTTCCTTTTTTCTTTTTTTTCTTTTTTTTTTTTTTTTTTTTTTTTTTTTTTTTTGCCTTTTTTTTTTTTTGGCCTTTTTTTTTTTTATTCTTTTCTCTTTTTTTTAAACTGAGTCAATATAAACCTTGTTCAAAATGTTATGAAAAAATGTACATGTTTATACAAGGCAGGCTGCAGCAGAGCGCTGGCGTTCCACGCAGACATCTTGGGGGGGGGTGGTAAAGGAGATGCTGGGCTTGGGTTTGTGGGGTCTTGGTGGGGTTTTTTTCACTCCCCCATCCCACAGAAATGCCCTCCCCCCCCTGGGGGAGCTCAACAAACCCCCCCTCCAACTCTTCTCTGTCCCTCCTTCCCCTCGGGACGGGCCAAAAAGCGAGCGCCGCAACCCAGCCCCTTGGGGGAAGAGCAAGGGATTAGAAACGCCCTTTCTCTTTTCTCTTTAAAAGTTTGTTTGTTGGTTTGTGTGGGGGTTTTTTTTGTGGTTTTTGTTATCTTTTTTTTGTTGTTGTTGTTTGAAAAGGAGAAGGCAGAGTGAAAGGGGGTGCAGTGAAAGGGGGTGAGGATGGAGGCGGGGGTGAGGATGGAGAGGGGGGACACGGCGCCTACTGCTTCACGTTGACGCCGTAGGTGGAATTCTTCATGGAGTCGTTCACCTCCCGCCTGAACGCCGACAGGTTCTGCGTAAACCTGAAGGAAAAGGCAGAGGAACCTCTTAGAGGAGGAGGTTGTCCTGTTCCTCTGAGGTTTTCCTTGCCATGAGGACCACAGGCTCTCCAGGATGCGCTTCTGCATCAAGTTGTGGGGAAACGGTAACCCCTCTGGGCCAGGCCAAAGAGATGCTGCTCTGTGCAGGCGGGACTCGGGCGCCGTCAGCTCATCATGTCGTTGCTGTTGACGCCGTAGGTGGAATTCTTCATGGAGTCGTTCACCTCCCGCCTGAACGCCGACAGGTTCTGCGTAAACCTGAAGGAAAAGGCAGAGGAACCTCTTAGAGGAGGAGGTTGTCCCGTCCCTCTGAGGTTTTCCTCGCCGTGAGGACCACGGGCTTTCCAGGATGCGCTTCTGCATCAAGTTGTGGGCTCCCAATGTCTTGGGATGGGCTCCCAAAGACCCAGGATGGGATCCCAACATCTTGGGCTCCCAACAGCCCCAGGGACCAGGCTCCCAATGCCCCCAGGGACTGGGCTCCCAACAGCCCTAGAGACGGGGCTCCCAAAGACCCAGGATGGGGACACCCCAAGGACCAGCTTCCAACTCCTCAGGCTCCCAACAGCCCCAGGGACCAGGCTCCCAATGCCCCCAGAGACTGGGCTCCCAACTCCTTGGTCTCCCAACAGCCCTAGAGACAGGGCTCCCAAAGACCCAGAATGGGCTCCCAACACCCCAAGGACCAGCTCCCAACAGCCCCAGGGATTGGGCTCCCAACAGCCCCAGGGATTGGGCTCCCAACACCCCAAGGACTGGCTCCCAACACCCCAAGGACCGGCTCCCAACTCCTCGGGCTCCCAACAGGCCCAGGGACTGGGCTCCCAAAGCCCCAGGGACCGACTCCCAACTCATCGGGCTCCCAACACCCCAAGGACCAGGCTCCCAATGCCCCCAGAGACTGGGCTCCCAACTCCTTGGTCTCCCAACAGCCCCAGGGACGGGGCTCCCAATGCCCCCGGACCGACTCCCAACTCATCGGGCTCCCAACACCCCAAGGACCAGGCTCCCAATGCCCCCAGAGACTGGGCTCCCAAAGACCCCGGATGGGCTCCCAACTGCCCCAGGGATTGGGCTCCCAAAGACCCAGGATGGGCTCCCAACAGCCCCAGGGACGGGGCTCCCAATGCCCCCGGGGACTGGGCTCCCAACAGTCCCAGAGACGGGGCTCCCAAAGCCCCAGGATGGGCTCCCAACAGCCCCAGAGACAGGGCTCCCAATTCCAAGTGCTCCCAACAGCCCCAGGAACTGGGGTCCCAACACCCCAAGGACCAGCTCCCAACTCCTTGGGCTCCCAACAGCCCCAGGGACTGGGCTCCCAAAGACCCAGGACGGGCTCCCAATTCCTTGGACTCCCAACATCTAGAGGCAGGGCTCCCAACTCCTTGTGCTCTCAACAGCCCCAGGGACTGGGCTCCCAAAGACCCAGGACGGGCTCCCAACTCCTTGGGCTCCCAACAGCCCCAGGGATTGGGCTCCCAAAGACCCAGGATGGGCTCCCAACACCCCAAGAACTGGCTCCCAACTCCTCAAGCTCCCAACAGCCCCAGGGACTGGGCTCCCAAAGCCCCAGGATGGGCTCCCAACAGCTTCAGGGACCAGGCTCCCAATGCCCCCAGGCACTGGCTCCCAACACCCCAAGACGGGCTCCCAATGCTCCCTGGGGACCAGGATCCAAACACTCCCCAGGGACCAGGCTTCCAAGAGCCCTGGGACCAGCTCCTAAAGCCCCAAGACAGGCTCTGTCCTCCACCCCTGGGGAAGGGTTCCTGGGCACCAGGCTCCCAACACCTTGGGGACAGGGCTCCCAGCTTCTCAGGCTCCCAACAGCCTCAGGGACCTGGCTCCCAACTCCCTGGGCTCCCAACACCTTGGGGATGGGGCTCCCAAACAGCCCAGGATGGCTCCCATCACCTCCAGGAACCGGGCTCCCAACAGCTCCCTGGGGACCGGGCTCCTAACGCCCCAGGATGGGCTCTCAATGCCCCAAGAAGGGCTCAGCCCCACAAAGGGGTCTCTGACCCACACTGACCTGTCCCTGTTCTTGGTGAGGAGGTTGCGTTCGATGCCTTCCATGAGGTTCTCAAAGCAGAGGTGCATGGCCTGCTGTTTCTCCGGAGGCTGGCTGTTCACTATACTGTTCCTCAAGTCAGAGAAATACTGGGAGGGGGAAAGAAAAAGATGGGTTAATTTTCAGAGGAATATCTACCTCAGCTTTGAGACAGGGCGTGCAGAAGATGAAGAAAAAGCATTCCAGCTCTTCAAGTGACTTATGAGTAAAAGTTAATGGGATTCCTTAGTGTCAAGGATGCTACAGGGGGGGCTGGACACCCCTCAATATACAATCTCTCCAGTCCTGGTCTCCCAACCACCTTCTGACACTGTTCTGCTCCCTTCAGCCCAAAGGTTCCAGCATTATTCAAGCTCAAAGAGCTCCTCCAGCTGCGACGGGGAGGTGGGACATTCACCTTTTCATTGAGCAGTATCAAGCCAAGCAGAGGCCGCGACATCGACCACTGGTTCCTGCAGTCCTCAAAGATGATGATGTTCAACACTGTTGACAGCATCTGGAAGAGGAAAAGGGAGATTTAAAACCAGCCCTTCCACCCCAGTTTTCTCCTCACCACCCACCCACCGTGGGGGCTCAGGAGAAATGATTCATCTTGGATGCTTCCAGTTGGAGCCTCAGAGCTCCCAGCACCGTGGGACAAGAGGACCTGGAGCCTCCATGAACTGGTGGAGAACTTCATAGCTCTTTATTCCTGATGCACTCCATCCTGCCCCAAGGCAGCCAGGGGAAGATTGGTTCATCTTCACATAAATAAAGTAAGAATAAGTGCTTAAATAGAGAGAGCACACGCTCTGGTGTTCTGGGGGAGCTTCTTCTAGGCCACACTACGGGTGTCTGCGCTCCCTTCCACAGCCCAAATCTAACCCAGCTGGTTTGGAAGATGCAGTTTCTTTTTTTAACCTCGGAAAACACAGCTTCTAGCCCTCAAAAAAGCCTGCTTTTCTTTGCAGTTGATCTACCAGCATGGGTGGAACAATATTGCCTGCTTTCATGTGGGAGTTGTGCTGCCACTTTGACAAGCCCCAGCGAGCGGGGATGGATCACGCCACCAGAAACACAGTGAGGGCTGTTCAAAGCAGCACAGCCAGGTGAGAGGCACCCAAACACTCCCCAGGGACCAGGCTTCCAAGAGCCCTGGGACCAGCTCCTAAAGCCCCAAGACAGGCTCTGTCCTCCACCCCTGGGGAAGGGTTCCTGGGCACCAGGCTCCCAACACCTTGGGGACAGGGCTCCCAGCTTCTCAGGCTCCCAACAGCCTCAGGGACCTGGCTCCCAACTCCCTGGGCTCCCAACACCTTGGGGATGGGGCTCCCAAACAGCCCAGGATGGCTCCCATCACCTCCAGGAACCGGGCTCCCAACAGCTCCCTGGGGACCGGGCTCCTAACGCCCCAGGATGGGCTCTCAATGCCCCAAGAAGGGCTCAGCCCCACAAAGGGGTCTCTGACCCACACTGACCTGTCCCTGTTCTTGGTGAGGAGGTTGCGTTCGATGCCTTCCATGAGGTTCTCAAAGCAGAGGTGCATGGCCTGCTGTTTCTCCGGAGGCTGGCTGTTCACTATACTGTTCCTCAAGTCAGAGAAATACTGGGAGGGGGAAAGAAAAAGATGGGTTAATTTTCAGAGGAATATCTACCTCAGCTTTGAGACAGGGCGTGCAGAAGATGAAGAAAAAGCATTCCAGCTCTTCAAGTGACTTATGAGTAAAAGTTAATGGGATTCCTTAGTGTCAAGGATGCTACAGGGGGGGCTGGACACCCCTCAATATACAATCTCTCCAGTCCTGGTCTCCCAACCACCTTCTGACACTGTTCTGCTCCCTTCAGCCCAAAGGTTCCAGCATTATTCAAGCTCAAAGAGCTCCTCCAGCTGCGACGGGGAGGTGGGACATTCACCTTTTCATTGAGCAGTATCAAGCCAAGCAGAGGCCGCGACATCGACCACTGGTTCCTGCAGTCCTCAAAGATGATGATGTTCAACACTGTTGACAGCATCTGGAAGAGGAAAAGGGAGATTTAAAACCAGCCCTTCCACCCCAGTTTTCTCCTCACCACCCACCCACCGTGGGGGCTCAGGAGAAATGATTCATCTTGGATGCTTCCAGTTGGAGCCTCAGAGCTCCCAGCACCGTGGGACAAGAGGACCTGGAGCCTCCATGAACTGGTGGAGAACTTCATAGCTCTTTATTCCTGATGCACTCCATCCTGCCCCAAGGCAGCCAGGGGAAGATTGGTTCATCTTCACATAAATAAAGTAAGAATAAGTGCTTAAATAGAGAGAGCACACGCTCTGGTGTTCTGGGGGAGCTTCTTCTAGGCCACACTACGGGTGTCTGCGCTCCCTTCCACAGCCCAAATCTAACCCAGCTGGTTTGGAAGATGCAGTTTCTTTTTTTAACCTCGGAAAACACAGCTTCTAGCCCTCAAAAAAGCCTGCTTTTCTTTGCAGTTGATCTACCAGCATGGGTGGAACAATATTGCCTGCTTTCATGTGGGAGTTGTGCTGCCACTTTGACAAGCCCCAGCGAGCGGGGATGGATCACGCCACCAGAAACACAGTGAGGGCTGTTCAAAGCAGCACAGCCAGGTGAGAGGCACAGAAAAGTGGTTTGCTCTAAAATAGGGATATCCAGAACCCAAGGCAGGGCCCTCCAGGGCACCAAAATCCTCTGTGAGCAGAGCCATCTGTCGTTAAGTGACACAGAGGCACCTGAATTACATGGTAGGTGGAGTTTTGTGCTCAACGAAGCCTCATCTAAGCAAGGAAAATGTCTCAGCTCGTTATGAATCCTCTGCCCTCCCACAAACTCCTGGCCCAGAGAAAAGAGAAATCCCAACGAGTCTGTGTCTGTCTGAGGTGTTGGGGATGGAGGCAGGAGATAGATGGTACCAGCAGGTAAAGCTCCATGATCAAATTCAGCTCCAAGAGGCTGAAAATTCAACTTCCACAGGGTCCCAACACGACCACAGATTGGTCCTGTACCCTAAAATCTCTGTGGTTAAACCCTGCGGTGCCTGCTCTGCTGCAAGAGCACATCTACCACTGAATAGTTTCCAGGGATTTAAATAAACCCTATTTTTATTTTAAAAGCAGCACAAGAGCATGCGCTCTCTGGTTGGAGGTGTTTCCTGGCTTCGTTTCTATGAACTGCCAGCACTGCCCAGAACTATATTTATCTTAACTACACAATAGGTGGAGGTTTGTGCTCAACGAAGCCTCATCTAAGCAGGGAAAATGTCTCAGCTCGTTATGAATCCTCTGCCCTCCCACAAACTCCTGGCACAGAGAAAAGATAAATCCCCAACAAGCTCCGTGTCTGTCAGAGGTGTTGGGGATGGAGGAAAGCTCCATGATCAAATTCAGCTCCAAGAGGCTGAAAATTCAACTTCCACAGGGTCCCAACACGACCACAGATTGGTCCTGTACCCTAAAATCTCGGTGGAGCCTTGTAAACCCTGCAGTGCCCACTCTGCTGCAAGAGCACATCTACCACCGAATTGTTCCAGGGATTGAAATAAACCCTATTTTTATTTTAAAAGCAGCACAAGAGCATGCGCTCTCTGGTTGGAGGTGTTTCCTGGCTTCGTTTCTATGAACTGCCAGCACTGCCCAGAACTATATTTATCTTAAAAAAAAAACAAACAAAACACCAAAAGAGCTAATATTTGGCTACTTCCTTTGGTATCTGAAACACAAAACTGATGTTCCTTGCTCAGGGAGAACCACAGCCCTGAAGCAGGGCCTTGAATCATAGAATCACAGAATGGTTTGGGTTGGAAGGGACCTTAAAGAGCATCCAAGTCCCACCCCCTGCCCTGGGCAGGGACACCTCCCACCAGCCCAGGTTGCTCCAAGCCCCCTCCAACCTGCCCTTGAACCCCTCCAGGGATGGGGTATAGGATGGATTTGTAGGAAAGGTGCAATGCTAGCAAAAAAAAATAATCCTTTTTTATCTCTGGAAGAGCCCGGGGCTCTAGAGCAGGGAGCTCGCAGCCCCCAGATGACATCAGGCTAAGAATATTTAGGGTTTATCAGGGTGTTTCCTCCTCTGCCTCGGGTCTGTACCTGCTGAATCATCTCTGGGTGCTGCTGCATGATGTGCAGGAACCGGTCGCTCTCCTGGGTGAGGGGAGTGCTCCTCTTCTTGGTGCTGCGGGACAGTTGCTTGAAGAGATAGGTGACAATGTGGTCCAAACAGGAGCAGCAGCCTGTGCAAACCATGGTGTCTGCAGGAAAGGGGAAGGAGGAGAGATATTGGGGTATTTTCCTTGCTTAGATGCACCCGGGGAAACACCACCCATTTATCTGGGTCTTTTTTAAGAATTTTGTAAGCAAGAACCACCTAATCCTAAACGAGCCAACAACTTCCTCACTGATATATTCACCCTCTCCAACATTCCAGCTTTAAGAGGTGAAACTCCTCCACCCATTCACACAGTGTGTCTTATCTTTTAGCCTGAAATATTATGCATTTAGAGCAACCAAAATCTTTCCCCACTTCCAAAGCAAAGCCCTAAGAGCCCAACAAAGATCCTTACCTAGTGCAGTGAGGCCTTCAGAAATGGAAGAGAGAATATACATGATTACATGAGGCTCCAGACTGGCTATAAAGTTCATGTGGTCCTGGGTAAGAACTTCCAGCAAGGAATAATACGACTGGCTGAGCTTGGGATAATCCTGCAGAGAAAGGAAGAGAGAAAAAGACTTTGAAGGCCTCGTGGTTTGCCTGGAAGCAGCCGTTAGGGCTTTCTGCTTAGACCCAACCCATCCATTAATCACCTGAAAACTGCTTACTGGATCCTCCTGGAAAGGGAACAAACCAACCTCTCTCCCAGCACAACAGATTTTCCACCCTTCTCCCCCACCAAACCCCTTCCAAACAGGCTCCAGAAATGGTCCAGCAGGTTCTCAACGTTGTGGTATCACAACATCTTTCCCCACAGCTTTGCTCTTTCCCTGAACGGGGAGTGTTGGCTGATTAATGCCTGGAGATGCAGAGATAAGGGCTCTCCAGGTGTCCACGCAGAGTTGCCAGATCACCAAAAAAAATCAACGTGTGTCGTGCACACCACAGACCCCTCCACAGCCCCCAAAATTGGGGACACACACACACATCTCTGCTGGGAGTCCTGCAAAGCAGCCCCACCTCGAGAGCTGCATTTGAGCTGCATGTCTCGATGGGTTTGACCCCGGGTATATTAAATCAAGAATATCTGATTTAATAGTCTTGATTCAATAAAGAACCAAGTCACAGAATCAAGTCACAGAGACAACAACAACCTCCTTCAGGTCCTGCTATGGTAATAAGACAGAGAAGGCTTGGGAGGACTAGATGCTGCCCTCTCTCCTCAATATTTTGCCAAGCAGGAGTGTGCTAAAAGGGTCTGAAAGCTCTGCCACGTAATGGATTTGTGTATTTTGAGGGCTGGACAGGAGCAAGGCTCCCTTAAGTGGTTGCCTTCAGTACTCAGGTTGCGCAGTAATTGCTGATGCATCGAGATCTCTGCCCACAGGCAAGACAGGGAA